CTATGAAGGTATTCCTGCAGGATGATAATTTAAATCCTTCAAAGATATCCCAATAGTCATATAGGCAGATCTGAATATTATATAGATGGTACATAGGGATATCCCAAATAGTCATATTGATGGATCTGAATATCAGATAGGTAAGGGTGTTTATTGCAATGAAAATCATTTTATTTGTAGACTTCCCAAGTCAAGTATTGAGTTAATTTACTTTGATCCAGTTAATACCATAATCTCTTTAAAAATTTACAAATTTAACATATAGAATGTAAATGAAACATTAATGTATATGATTTATCATATTGTTACAATGGATATCATTTAATTCTTTGTTACATTTAGGTTCAGTTCACTGCCAGTGTGTGTGCTTCTGTCTGTCAAGTAAATTGGGTCCCAAAGGATCAACTATAGCATAATTGCTTATATGTTTAAACCTATTATATTTTTTGATCAATAGTTTGTCTAAATGGTGAAAATATTCCAGAGAGACCAAAAATCATACAAAATAACCTCACAAAACCTAAGTAATGAAACACTACATTGTGATTGTTGGCATTTACAGTTTGCTTTAAGGTATAATGTACTCCTTGTGTTTTTATTTTTGATTATTCAAAACGAGTGTGTAATGAAGTTTTAAAAAACTCAAGGAAATTGAAGTGGTAAGTGCTTGGAGTGCATATCCTTGTATTCATTTTCTCAGTTATTTTGATAGCATATTTAGGGTGTCTGCTAATTTGCGCATCTATTAGATATAGATATTTATTGTATTAAAATCATACAAGAGGATAAGACTAACCCATAGTGGGGTTTATTTATCAGAATTTTAATTAAATATGTTCAAATCTTAGACTATAATTACAAGTTTAATTGTAAACAAAAAGTTACAATTTCCATCGTAGAAATGAATCAATAGTGTTTATATATGGAGAGGGTAGTGAAACTGGATGAAGACAAATTAATTAGAAAGTATTAATCTAGAATTTGGATTTGGGGCTTTAATACATAAAACACAGAAGGTGCAAAACGTGGACATATTTGAGAAATAGGTGAAGATATTATCAATGTTTGATAATTGTCTTGCTCTAAGTTAGAATATATGGAATATGCTCTTTCTCATGTGGGTAATGATGAAAGATGGCACTATTTACTGAGTTTAATATAAGTGGTGTGTGCATCTGTGTTTGTGTGTGCATGTGTGAGCATGTGTGTGTGTATTTTGGGGGGGTTGTTCTGATGCATATGCCAGAATATGTTGCTTTTTAAATATATAAAATTTCTTTAGTATAAGATAAATGCAGGTACCTATGGAATATATATTTGATGATGATTGGGAAGAATTACATATGTTTGCCTGGGATTCAGGAGAAAAACTGGATGTACTGATAGATACCTTTATATCACTATGTATGACAGCTCCCAGTAAAACAGGCAAAAATGACATGAGCTGGCATAAATACTCTTGAGGAACAATTTTATTTCAAACAGTAACAAAAAATAAAAAGTTCTTTAGGAAAATACAAGTAGTTACAAAAATGGAAAATGTCAGAAATTTGATAACTGATAAAGAAAAAAGTGATAGTCTAAATGTCAGGTGATGTTGACTTCCTCAGAAAACTCAAAACAGAAATGAATGTTGGGCTTGAGAGGAAGGAAGCTGTTGGTGAATTTGGAGAGAGTATTTGCATTTCACTGATGAAAACAAACATCAGAATAAAATAGGTAAAGTATAAATGTGTGGGACCCAGTGAGCATTGGTGACTTCCCAGATTTGGGTACTGAGGGACTGAGGGATGAGAGGTAATGGATACTAGTCATGGAATGGAGGTCACTGGTATATCTTAACATATATTCTTTTGATTTAAGTTTATGGAAATAGTTGAATTAAATAACATAAAAAAAGATGTGTGTGTGAGAGAGAGAGTATTGAACATATGCTCAGTTGTAGAAAATAAAACACCCTTTATGCCTATTCTTCATGGTATAGAAAGGTTTTCTGTGGAAGAGACTATATTTCTGCACCTCATGTTTCCAAAGTTGAAACACTTTTTCTCCCTCTAAATTGGAAATAGTAACATCTGCTCAGTGTAAATATCAGCATTGGGATGGAGAAATAAAAAAAATCCTAGGTTTGGAAATGCTAAGCCAAATTCTTGAGTGAAGAAAAATCAAATAAATAAATAATTGATTTTTAAAGTGAGTAATTTGTGTTAGCTTAGTTCTTTTTTTTTAAATTTTATTTAAGAGGAAAAAGAGAAAAACACAAAACAAAACAAAGTGGTGTAAGGGTACACGTAATACAGAACTACAAAAAAAAAAAACATAATAGTAAGAAATCACCTGCTAATAGATTACATATTATCATCTTGGAAATAGTTGCTCAAATCACAGTATCAAAGAATACAAAGTGGACATTCAAACAGAGAGACTGCAAACAGCTGTGTTCAATGATCCAAAAACATTAATACAGTCAGCTATTTAACACCCCTAAACACACTTGCTGTTATATCCGTTAGAGCTCTTTTTTTTCCCCTCTCTTTTTTACAACAAAATTTACACATTTTAGATTTTATTACTCCTTAGTTCTTATTACTTTTTTGGGGGGGGGGAGAGAATAAAGTCAAATATGGAAAACAAAGCTGTCAGTCAATACCAAGGATACACATAGCACATGTTGTAGAACAGAGTACAAGGTTATCAACAATGGTTATCAACGTTGTCTCTTGTTTCCTTAAAAAGAATAGTCTATCTCATTAGATATTATAAAGTTGGACAAAACAGTAGAGAACAAGACCAATAAAACTTAGACATTGTAAACATTACAGGACTTTCCAAAGGAGACAACAGTCAAATCAGAATGGGCATCTTAGTGAATCTTATTGCCTTCATCTCCCCTCCCTGTAAGCGGAGGCAGGGTGGCAGCCTGCCGCCCTTCCAGGGGGAGAACTAGCAGTGTCTCCTGAGATCCACGCCATGCTGGAACTTAGGACTCTGGGAAGCCAAGCCAGCACCTCCCCTCCCTGGTAAGCGGCAGTAGTTTAGCCCACTGCAGCCCTTCCAGGGGGCGAACTAGCAGTGTCTCCTGAGATCCATGCCATGTTGGAGCTTAGGACTTTGGGAAGCCAAACCAGCATCTCCCCTCCCTGTGAGTGGAGGGAGGGTGGCAGCCTGCAGCCCTTCCAGGAGGAGATCTAGCAGTGTCTCCTGAGATCCACGCCATGTTGGAGCTTATCTCAATCTCTCCCTTATTCTTTAAAAACATTATTTAGTTATTTCTTATGTTTGTTTTAATTAAGGGGAAAAATTTTAAAAAATTAGCATATATTATAGTAACTCTTTTTGATTTCCTATTAACTTGTTTTGAAGTCCTGTAATACTCCCACGATCTTGTTTTGACTGATTAGACTCTGTTCCATTCTATATGATAATATCAAGTTTGAGGGTATAGGCAACTACTTTGATAGCTTAGTTCTTTGCATGGTATTCTTGGTAGCTCAGATAACAAACACAAAAAGAAGACTATTTCAAAAATATCCATAATTTGATATATCCTGAAGGAATTAGAATGCATAAATTGTGTACATTAGAATATGTAATTGTAAGCTATGTATGAAAAATATTGAATACAAGAAGTAACAATTTAGAAGATATCTGAGAAATGGAGTTTAAAAATTGTATAGAAATAAATGAAAAATTATATCCTCATGTAAAAATAGGATAATTTATTGCTTTCATTTTTATACTTACTCTTTGATTGATTTTTCAGATAAAACAATGACAAATTGGGCACACTTGAATGGAAAATTTTTGTACAGTGGTGATGACATAGTCGATGCCAAGTTTCCAAGAACCTGAGAAAGCACAAATGAAAGGTGCACTATATGTGGGGACTGACAACTTTTGCAGCTGTGATTGACTTGGAAATATGTAAGTGACAAAGCAGGTAAGGGTATAAAATTGTGAGGCCTCAGAGAATGATTTTACACAAACACAAATAGTAACATTAGATGTATAATGATGCTAAAGTCTTCAGCAATATCTTCACTTTCCTGACTAATTTTGAAACACGTGGAGAATTTATACTGAGCAAGAATTCTGAAGAAATATAAGTGTTCAAGGAGTCAATTTTCATTTCAGACATGAAGAGGGAGGAGAGGTTGGTGTACCACTGCTAAAAATATACAAGGTTTGCTGACCATCAGTGTAAGTAGTAAAATTTGAGGATCCACAGGGCTAAGGATTTAGCTCAGGAGCATAAGCACCTGCCTTGCAAATGTGCGGTCGTGAGTTCGATCCCTGGTACCGAAAAAGACAATTCCCCCCCCCCCAAAAAAACTTGAGGATCCACAAGGATTAGAGATTCTAAATTAGTGAGGTAATTGAAGGCCCCTTTCAAAATTGTTATTGTGGGATTACAGAGACTTCTACCAAACATGATTCAATCCAAACAACATCTCAAGATTTTTATTTATTCAGCAAATACTATGAGCTAGTCATTGATTTAAGCACTCAATGTGGATAAATGCATAAATTGCCTTTCTAAAAGTGCCTTGATTTATGGTGATTAGGAAATCACTGCTTCTCACAAAGATGATTTCATAAAGCATGACTTGATGTCTCTGAATAAAGATTCATGAGTTAGCCGATTGCGAAATAAAACATTCTGTAGTGTAAACATTCCACTTCAGTTTCTGAGACTCACTCAAAATATTTAAATAAAGACATTGTAAAGATTAAATGAGTATATAAAATATTCAAATATCATTCAATCATTACAAATTTCCACAGAACTCCACATTTTGGAATTTTTACCTCGGACAAATCAGTTCATTCTGGAAGTAGATAAAGAATGAAGATATTCCCTTGAAATTTTTCATCATATCATCACAAAACTAGCATTGTCTCTTGATTTAACCTTGATTATTTACTCCTCATGGGAAAAGTACTATTCAGAGTATGAGCCTCAAAGAATTTTAGTAAGCAGAACACTTTCCACATCTTCCATGGCTAAAGGTAATTACTCGACAGAGTCTGGATTCATCCTCCTGGGGCTCACAGACAATCCAGAGCTTCAGATCATTCTCTTTGGTGTATTCTTGGTTGTCTACTTAGTCAGTGTCACCACTAATCTTGGACTGATTGTGCTAATCCAGGTCAGTGCTCAGCTGCGCACACCCATGTACTTTTTCCTTAGTCACCTGGCTTTCATTGATTTTTGTTTTACCTCTGCAGTCACCCCTAATATGCTGGTGAATTTTTGGCATGAGGTTAAAAGCATACCATTTTTTGCATGTGCCATTCAGGTGTGCTGTTTTATCATATTTGTTGTGTGTGAAGTATTTGTGCTATCCATCATGGCCTATGATCGCTATGTCGCCATCTGTAACCCTCTGCTTTATGCCATTCTCATGCCTAGGAGACTGTGTGTTCAGATGATTGCTGGCACGTACATGTATGGATTTACTGTGGGTCTTGTTCAGACTGTGGCCACATTTAGATTGTCCTCTTGTGGCTCCAAGGTGGTCAACCACTTCTACTGTGACGATGTTCCCTTAATTGCTCTGGCTTGTTCTGACACTCACATAAAAGAGCTCATGCTGTTCATCATCGCAGGCTTTAATTTCCTCTCCTCTCTAGCAATTGTGGTCACTTCTTATATCTTCATCCTGTTTGCCATTCTTAGAATTCATTCTGCCAAAGGAAGACAGAAATCATTTTCTACTTGTGCGTCTCACCTGACCTCCATCTCAATATTTTATGGCACAGCTATTTTTATGTACCTGCAGCCTAAGTCTACCCATTCTCTGAACAGAAATAAATTTGCCTCGGTGTTTTATGTGGTAGTGATTCCCATGTTAAACCCTGTGATCTATAGCTTGAGGAATCAGGAAGTAAAAAATGCCCTGAAGAAAACTGTTGAAAAAATTTTTTGGCTACCAAATGATGTAAAAGGTCACTAAGCAAAGATCAAGGAGTTTGATTTGTGTTTACATAGGGTCACAGTTCTGCAAATGACAAAGGCATGTTCTCCACCCAGTCTGTAACATCCACATAGTTCCCTTCACACAGATTCTAGCTCAGACTCACACTGTAAATAAAAATCTGTTGAGTTTTGTAAGAAACAAAGAATGAAAGAGAAAAGAGACAGAAATATCATAATCCTATTTTTACATAAAACATCAGCAGTTGAAGAATATAACGAGAAATGCAGGTTACAGCGGAATTGTATTTGACATAAAGAAATATGAATTTTATTCCAATGAATCACCATGTGCTGATTTATATTCCAAGTTTGTCACGCAGAAATCGGGGAAAGTGTCATATTTTGTATCAAAGATTTGATGTTGTTTTGTTTTAACACAAGATGATTTCCCTAGCTCCCTGGTTTTTTCTCCATTCTCACCTCAGTTGGATGCTGTGTTTCTAGTGACAGGTTCTGTACACACTCAGCTGACTGAAATCTCTTCCCACCATACCTTGCTATCTGTTTAGCACTTAGAGTTTAGAACTTAGAATTTTGATATTTTGCTAGGAGCTTTGCAATGTGCATTTTTCCCATGCTACATTTTCAGGTTTCTGTACCTCAGAATGCAATGATGGTTGATTCCCCTGGCCTCATTGTGAAGTAGCAAATGATAAAATATTTTTAAATGATAGCCATAAAGCTTAATTATACTTTCAGTTATCCGAAGTCCCTTCATATGGCTTTAGGAAATTGGATAATAGCTATTTTTAAACACTTGGCAACATGACCATCTACATTTTAAAATCAGCAAAATGACAGGGACAAAATTAAGAATTATTTCACTGTGATATTCTAAGCAATTTAATTTAATTACTTGCATTTTTAATGTGTGTTTGCACAATGATACATCTTCTTAAAATGATATTTTAGGCTTATGTATACCATCCTATAGATTATGCATTTTTCATTAAAAGAATGCCATTGTCATATGTTTTATTATTAGATTGTGCTGAATCTCTATGTATTCTAAATTCACTTGTTGAACTGTATTTTAAACCTTTGAGGATGACACTTTATCTGTCTCACACACATTGAACATAACAGTGGAGCAATGACAGCTGCCTCTCTGTCTTATCCCCAAAACACCTTCATCCATGTATCACTACTATAGAAGGCTTGAGGTCAGGATAACTCAACTGAAGACCAACACAATGTTATATCCCTCTACCAATATGACAACCATGGTGCAACTTTTATTCTAAAATGCTACCTTTCCTCCTCCATCTGCCATTATTGAGCAACACAACTCAATAAAACCAATCCACCCATTCTATTTTTACAATGTAGGCCTTAAAGACACTATAAGTACATACATATTTTTCTTAAATCAATTCATTCCTTAAAGTCTGAGTAAACATTTGACCCCATCAAGATACCTAAATTATTATGGTAAGGTAGAGAATTTATATGTTTGACATGGTAGATTCATTATTAATTCTCAACTTTCCTTCATCTTGTCGCCTTTTCCTGGTGGCATGCATAGTAGTTTCTAGCTTATATTTTGCATTTATGTAAAGCATCTGTGAATGTAGGCTATAAGGACCATTGCAGTAGGTGTGTAGGATAAGTTCAAATGTTTTTGCTAAATGCATTCTTAAATAGAATGGCCCATTTATTTCTGCAGTTTAATGACAATGAATGCCAAATAAACTATGATTTGTCATCATTTCATTTCTAGAGAAATAAATGAGAATTCTATTAAATAAGTCTTTACTGTAGAATTGAAATACAAATATCTAGACTCTGAGATACTATTCTCAGAAGATATGTTCAAGATTTATGATTGAGAAATTCACAAGTTTAAAATGTTTTCAAAAAGTTTCCCCAAAATGGCTGCTAAATACATGAATCTGTACTAAACATTTATGTAAAATATATCCATAAGTGCAATGTGAAATGAATATAAGAAAATTTAAAATAAATATACCAAAATTTCAAGACAGATATAGTAACCAATTGTTTTCCACAAAGAAATCAATTTTCCTTTGTTGAAGTTTCCATTATTGACTGAAATCCAAGAATATTATCTACTATTGATTTCATTGAACTAATTTGGTCACCAAGTAGAAAGTATTAAATAATTCCTTATTCTTGTATACATTATTATATTATATATACATACAGCATACATTGTATATGTCATTATATTTCAATGTTTGTCTTTAAATTTGTGACAATAAAAGCATTGTATTTGAGGCTTGTGACCATGGTTTGTGACACATGAAATCACATGTGTTGAGAAACACCTACTCCATTGGAAATGTACACTTCTGATTGTGTATATAGGTAACTGGCACATAGACAAGCCAACCAAAGGCAAAATACACCTTACTAATAGGTAGCACCTATCAATATACTGCTAGCCTGAATGTAATAAAAAGGAAAGAAAGATGTTGGTACAGATTCACAAAACTCTACTCTGCTGATTGGCTGGGTCTTTTACTGGCATTGGTCATAACTATCCAACTTTTGACTTCAATTCCATAACATGAAACACTGCCCTTTAATGAGCTCCTGTGTGGTCTCACAGGCCTTCCTTTAAAATTGATTAGAATGATCACTGACCCCACAATTCTTAAATTCTGCATGCCAGTAAAACCAGCATCAAGTGGGTGACACCAAGGTCTGGTGCCATTGGAGGAACAACCATGAGCAATTGAACTATACCTACAGCTACCTCTGAAGGCCTGGATAGTTTAGGCCAGTGAGACAAGCCTCAGGGAACCAATTTGCTGGGAGGCCCTCCTTGAACCATCTCAAGGACTCAATTATTTTCCACATTTTTGTTAGTGCATATTTGCTATACAGATTAATAGACATTGTCTGGATAGACTCAAACACATATGTAAAGTACTTTAATCATTCGCCTATTACCTGATTTTTCACCTTCACCTATTTAAAACTTTTGAGGAGACTTCAACGTGTGTAAGATATTTTGATTGTATTCAACTCCCCATTACACACACCTTCTTCCCTTCTTTGTTCTTTTTATATAGTAAATCTTACTTTTAGTTTCTGTTTTTTCCTTTTTACATTCCATGTAATAGAGAGAATGTGGTATTTTTGTAGCTCAATCTTCTTTTGCTCAGTATGAAAATCCTTAATTGTATCAATTTTTCAGTAAATGATAACATTTATTCGTTTGGATCTATTATACTATATGTCGTCTATGTAACCCACATTTCCATTGTCTTCTCATCTGTTTGTAGATAATTATTGCAATTTCTTATCTATGGTATTTTGTGCAGCTAAAACATGTCTATGCAGGTATTCCTGTAGTATGCTAACTTAAATTTTCAAGGATGTCCAAAGTAGTCATATAGCTGGATCTGAATAACAAATATGGAGGTGAGTGCTTAATGCAGTGAAAATCATTTCTTTATACACTTTCAAAGCCAACTATTTTGTTAATTTTCTTGGACCCAATTAGTGACCCAATTTCTTAAAAATGTACAACTTTAATGTATAAAATGCAAATAAAATATTATGTGTCTGATTTATCATATTGCTTCAATTGCTATCATTTTTTTGTTACACTTTGTTTCAGTGTAGAGGTTTGCCAGTGTAGTGTGTACTTTTGTCTCTCTAGCAAATTGGGATGCAAAGGATCAACCATAACATAATTACTTATGTGCATAAAAGTATTATATTTTGGAATCAGCAGCTCTTTAAGATGATGTAATTCCTGGAAATATTCCAGAGAGATCATAAATCATACAAAATAACATCAGAAAATCTAAATAATGAAACATTGCATTGTGATTTACAGTTGGCATTTACAGTTTTGCCTTCAGGTATTTGTACTCTGTGTTTTTCTTTGTAATTACTCAAAACCAGTATGTAATGAGGTTAAAAATACTTCAAGGCAATTGAAGCAATAAGAGCTTGGTGTGCATATCCTTGTATTCATTTTCTCAGTTATTTTGATACTATATTTAGAGTGTCTGATAATTTGTGAATCTGTCAGTTTTAGGTATTTATTACATTAAAATATTATAAGCAATAAGACTAACCTACCCTGGGGTTTATTTATCAGAAATTTAATTAATTATATTAAAAACTTAGACCTCAATTCCAAGTTTAGCAGTAAACAAAAAGCTACAGTTTTCACGATATAAAATATATTAGAAGTATTTTATATTTGGAGAGAGTGGTGAAACTGGACAATGACAAATTAATTAGAAGGCACTAATATTGAATTTGGATTTGGGGCCTAAATACATAAATTATGAAGGACAAGAGACATAGATAATTTTAAGTAATAGGTGAAATTATTATCCACATTTGATACTTGCTCATACTGAAAGTTAGAATGTATGAAATATGTTCTTTTTTTCTCATGTGAAAAATGATGAAAGATGGCACTATTCATTAAGTTAAGTTTGTGTGTGTGTGTGTGTGTGTGTGTGTGTATTTTGAGGGGTTTCTGTATTTTATATGCCTGTAATGTATTGTTGCTTTTGACATATAAATTATCTTTAGCATAAGATAAATGTAGAGCTCTTGCTATATAGAGTGGGCTGGCCTTGAACTCATTATGTAGCTCAAACTGGCCTCAAACTCCTGGTGATCCTTCTGTCCCAGCATCCCTACTGCTGGGATTATAGGCTTGCATCACCATGCCCAGTTCTCATATCCTAATTTGTAAAGGGCATTACTGCTTGAGAATTAAAGTCTTGTGCTATTTTATGCAGTTTAACATCTGACATAGCAACAATTCTCTGCACAGAAAAAGTATTCAAAAGTGAGATAAAAGAAAATGATCATGGAGAATCCCTTGTTCCCATCAACTACTCACTTGGTCCAATATTTCCTGAATCACTCACACTTCCTAACTGGGTTTTATCAGGATTTGCAAACACTTCCCTGCTTAGCATAGCTTATGCAAGGGTCGCACCAAATTGGTTTCTGTAGAATAACCTGTCAAAACTGCTC